TTGAGGAAGGGTTTTAAGCCTTTGAATTCTACTTACCACAATAATTGCTTCTTCGGGGTTCTGGGCTTCACTTTTTGGCACCATGTACATGTTTTCCACCATTAGAGCGTAGGGTAAACTTGAGATAGGTTCGGAAGAACATCTTTGCGCGGATGAAATAGCGGTGAGCTCGAAGCTAGGGCTGTACTGCTGCAAACAAACCAATCTTAATCCAGTGGTCTTTGACGAGCTATATGCTTGGAAGTGGAGACGGACATAACTCTTCGTTTACCGCAGCACTATTTTGTTATTGGAAAGATATTGGCCGAGTAGGAAGTGCACAGGAATGCTAAGCTTATTCAAAAAGAGGTGTATAACGCGATCACAATGAGCAGCATAACTTTCACAATTCTTGCATGAGCATCTGTTTGTTATCCATGTTGATCACTTGGTTTTGCGTTTTCGACGACTTCGCGAGATGGTGATGAGATAGACCCTCGTGTTGAATTTTTTGACTTCCCTAGTGGGTAATGCGCCTCTTTGAAGTATCTAGGAACCATAAAATCCAAACCACCGTACCATCATGAGCATGTTGCTTGCTGATGGCATATCATTTCCACTTTTGTCCTTGACCAAACCTTGTGCAAGCCGTGATCTGAAAAATCCTTCTATATATGATGCGCTAAGAGTGCATGTTGATTCGTCGGTGTGTGTATGTATCTATGCATGTGTGTGTGACCTGAAATCCCCTGGACCTATGGCATTAAAATTTAGATGGGATGCAGGCGGTTCGAACCTAGAGTGTTCAAATTTTGGAGGGGTACTGCGCAGGGATTAAAGCACTTATGGTAGGAGACAGAAATGAGGACGGAGCGTGAGCCGAATGAGCGTTATTTGAGTAAAAGCCAAGTTGGAGTGAGTAAGTGATCGGGAATTTCTCCTCACTGAAGCATCCAAAATCGAAAGGTATGTAAGCGACGGGGCAAGTTGAAAATACACCTCCCGATGATTTTGGAGTGTTTGGTTTAAGATGAAAGATGGAAGTGATAGTCAAGATAAGTACAAAAGTAGCGAAGAAAACGCAGAAATCAGCGTATTCAGAAAAAAATGTAGGGTTAAAAAAGATGTAAAAATAGAGATTAGGCGAGAATGTAACGACAGAAGCTGCATGGAAGGAGTATTTGGACGAGCTGTTCAAATGTGCGCACCATTGCATACAACTGGCTGCAGTGAGGTGCCTGTGTGAGACGTGCGAATGGTGCAACCTTTACAGATCTTACAACCCTTATGAACTCGTCTCCTCTGGATTTGTCCGGTGTACGGCTAAGCCGGTCCTAGGGTCTTTATAGCGTCTTATCTTATCTGTTTTTTCACCCAACAACATCCTCTAGGCTATCCTTGGGAGTCGCAGGTTTATCGGAGGGAGAAATCTCAGAAACCGTTTTGAACGTGAACCGTGAACACGAAAGGGGGAAAACGTTAACCGGACGATTCGACAGGCGATTTCATCAAAACCACATTTTAAAGACCATACATTACCTGCGATAATTGTGTGCTATTATTGTTCTATTCCTGAACCCTTCATCCATCGCCTTCGGGATTGTAGTACCTGGAATGATATGTGGAAGGAAACACAACAAGGTCATTTAGATTTACAAAAATATACATATAATTGAGTGCTCGGGTGCTCGGGAAATGTGCTTCTCGAAATGCAAACTACATGGGGTTCACTGTAAGGTATGTCTATGTTGTTACTGTGCTCGGCTCCGTAGTGCTGGCACTCATTCCTTCATTTGCGGGACTACTCGTACCCATTTTTAAAGTGACATAATAGGTAAACAGTATCTGCTGCTTCAAAGGACGTTACTGCCTCCGATTCAAAGCATGCATGTTTGAGTGATTAGCCGTTCATCCGGGTTTGTCTTTCGAATCTCTTTCAATTCTTGTTCTTCCATATCGATATCCGCTCAGTTAAAATAAGTCGGTCAGCCTTCATAATGATGAAAACCTTCAGTTAACTCCCTTTCGAGCTTATACTGTCAATCGATCACGAGATTGTCCTTCCAACTTTCCTCGCATAGCTGGGTATAGAATCACGAAGTGTGGACCAGTCTTCAACAAGTCTCGACTTTGACATCATCTAGCTCTGTACA